TTCCCTCGGTCGCGGCACACCGCCAGTAGTGGTGTCGGTGTCAACCTGTAGGCCTCCGACAATGGGTACGGATACAATGGGGACAAAAACCGGCAGCAGCTCCTGCCCAGGTGGAAGAGGATTCGCTGACGGTTTTGCCGCGAAAATCGGCCACCTGAGACCCAAGTTCGCCTGCCCAGCAGCGGCCGTTGTCGATGTTGGACCACGCGCGCTGGAGCCAATTCATGACCACGCTCGATAATAAGCGCACGTGAATTTAGCCGTTATCTAAGCATTCCCCGACGGCGCTGGCCCCCTCCCCCCCTCCCCTGTTCGCCTGGGCCACGCCCGTCTTCGCCAAGGGGTCAAACAACAGACTCCTGTTGAGCCCCGCTGTTTTTTCCCCAGAACGTGCCACATGGAGTCCACGAAGGCCCAACACCCTTGTCCAGGCCAGACTCGTCATCCCGAGTCCTTCTTGGAGGCAGCCTGACTCTGGCAAGTTCACTTGCGTGTATGGGGGGAGGGGGGAGCGAGGCGAGGCCCGAAAGGCCTTCTGGACGTCACGCAAGTCGGGACTCGCTTGCTTGCCTTCTCGGCCCAGCGCAGCATCAAAAGGCGACGTACCCTCTTGGACAGGAAAATCCAGAATCGAATCGATACGTAGGATCGGCGATCGACATGAATCGGGTCGGCGGAAATCGGCAGCCGAGTCGGGAGGAGTCAAGCCGACGGCAATCGGCAGGCTGACACACGCCCCCACCGAGAGATCGGAACCCATATCGGAATCCGAAGTCGAATGGGGATCCAGAGTCGCGGCCCATCGAGATCGAATCGAGCCGGAGGAATCGAAATGAGTCTGTGAGAGGGATGAACGAGCAAGACAGCCAGTCAGCATGTACCCACCCCCCTGTGGAATGGCGCCTGCCCAGAACACCTGGCCGCGGGACACTCCACAGAGACGCGTGCGCCTTGAGGGCCACGCACGGAGAGGTGAGAGGAGAGGACAACTGCGGGTGTCCCCAACGGCCTGGCCTGGCCGGTGTGTCCGTCTCGGTCCGGGCGTGCACGCGCTCAGCGAGGGGCAGGACGAGGAGGAGGAGGAGGAGGAGGAAGAAGGAGAGCGAGGAGAAGGAGGAGTGCGAGGAGGAGGAGGGGGAGGAGGAGGCCCAGGGCCTCGCGGATGGCCCAGGAGCCCCAGGGAGGGGGCCCGCGGGAGGCCGAGCGCGGCGCCAAAAGCCCTCGGGGCCCGCGCTGCCCCCCGGGAGCCCCCATCCTGCTCCCGGCGAGGGCCCCCCGCGGGAGCCCGCAGCCCTGGCCAGACAAGCCGAGTCCACCGCTCGCAAAAGTAACTCCTCGCAAAGGGCCTGGAGCCGCTGCGGGCGATCTGCGATCCATGACACCGAGGGGGGAAGCGTGTGCGTGTGTGGGTGTGGGTGTGTGTGTGTGGGTGTGTGGGTGTGTGTGGGTGTGTGGGTGTGTGTGTGTGTGGGTCTGGGTGTGTGGATGTGGGTGTGTGTGTGTGTGGGTGAGTGGGTGTGTGTGTGTGGGTGAATGAGTGTGTGGGTGTGTGGGTGTGTGGGTGTGTGTGTGGGTGTGTGGATGTGTTGTGTTTGTGTGTACGTGCGGGTGTGTGGATGTGTGGGTGTGTGTGTTATGTGGCTGAGTGTGTGTTGTGTGTTAAGTGTTGTGTGTTGTGTGTTGTGTGTTGTGTGTTGTGTGTTGTGTTGTGTGGTGTGTGTGTGTTGTGTGTGCGTGTGCATGTGCGTGTGCGTGTGTGTGTGAATGTGTGTGTGTGTGGGGGGGGGGGGCGGTGATGTGTGTATGTGTGTTTGTGCGGGTGGGTGTGTGGGTATGTGTGCGGGTGTGTGTGTGGGTGTGTGCTTGTTGTGTGGTATGTGCCGTGTGTTGTGTGTCTGTGTGCTGCTTGCTGCGTGTTGAATGGTGAGTGGTGTGTGTTGTATGTTGTGGTGTGTAGTGTGCTGTGTGATGTGTGTGTGTGTGTTCGTGTGCGTGTGCGTGTGCGTGTATGTGTGTGTGTGTGTTTGTGTGTGTGTGGGTGAGTGGGTGTGTGTGTGTGTGTCTGTGCCTGTGTGTCTGTGTCTGTGTCTGTGTATCTGTGTCTATGTGTCTGTATGTCTGTGGGCCTGTATGACTGTGTGTGTGTCTGTGTGTCTGTGTGTTTGTGTGTGTGTGTGGCTGAGTGTGGTTGCGTGCGTGCGTCTGTGTCGTGTGAGTCTGTGTTGTGTGGGTGTGGTTGTGTGTGTTCGTGTGTGCATGTGTGTTTGTGCTTGTGTTTGTGTGTGTTTGTGAATATGCGTGTGCTTGTGTTTATGCGTGTGGTTGGTCGTGTGTGTTGTGCTGGTGTGTGTTTGTGTTTGTGTTTGTGTTTGTGGTTGTGGTTGTGTTTGTGGTTGTGGTTGTGCTTGTTCGTGCGTATGGTTGTGGTTGTTTTGGGTTTGTGGTTGCGGTTGTGGTTGTGCTTGTGTTTGTGTGTTTGTGTGTGTGCGTGTCCTCGTGAGTGTGTCTGTGTTTGTGTTCGTGTTTGTGATTGCGTATGTGCTGGGTTTGTGTTTGTGCTTATGTTTTTGTATGCGCTTGTGTTTCGGGTTGTGTGTGATTGTGTGCTTGTGTGCGCGTTTGTGTGTGGTTGTGTTTGTGTTTCGGTTGTGTTTGTGTGTGTGTTTGTGCGTGTAGTTGTGTTTGCAGCTGTGTTTGTGTTTGTGGTTGTGTTCGTGTTTGCGTTTGTGTTTGTGCGTGTATTGGTGGTTGTGTTTGTGTTTGTGTTTGTGTTTGTGTGTTGTGTGTGCTTGTGTTTGTGTTTGTGCCTGTGTCAGTGTCTGTGCTTGTGTTTGTGGTTGTCTTTGTGTTTGTGCTTGTGTTGTGCTTGTGTGTGTGTTTGTGGTTGTGGTTGTCGTTGTGGTTGTGCTTGTGCTTGTGCGTGTGGTAGTGGTTGTGGTCGTGACTGTGCTTGTGCCTGTGTCTGTGTCGGTGTCTGTGTCTATATCT